AAGGTTTGTTAAAATCTTTAAAAACCAACTTTCGAATATTTGCGCATCCATTTCCTCGTGGTAGTCACTAGTTTTCTTGGACTCGATGAGAATCAAGCCGGCGCTTTCAATCTTATTGAGAAGACCTCCAATAAAAGCTTGTTGACAACTTTTTATTTCTAAATCTTGCCATACCTTTGAGACATAATGGCCTTGATTTAAACAAGTCTCATCGAAATGCTAAATCTTTCTACCTTCAAGACGATACTCTCGGATTTATTTCAAGTAATTTCTCCGCCACAAAACAATTTCTTCTCTTTCTATAAGAGCACTTCTCCTACCTCTTTCCTACCTCATAAATTCAATTTTAATTTGCTTCAATCTACGTGGTAAAAGACGTCGTTATATTTTGGGCATCGATTCAGCGAAACTTTTTTCGGCTGCGATTTTTTTTAATTTTGGTATTTCATTTCGGAAAAAAAACAAATGGAATTTCCTACGAATAGCGTATTTGGTGCAATCATCAAGCTAAATTTGTTTTCTTCCTCTGGTTTCAATGTATTTAGATACATTATCACATTCACCTTCATTTTCTTAAAAAGTTTAAGGAATTCTGTTGAATACTTTTTGTCGACACTTTAAGTTCTATGTTTTATGTTCTAAGTAAATCACTGTTCAGATTAACTACGTCGTTATGCAACAAATTTTCATTTCTTCAACGGAGCCCCCAATACATATTGTATATAATAGTTTTTTCTCTTCAGATAAATTCGGACGTCTGCGTTTGCTTTGACTGCTTTTACTTTCCATTATGCTCACAGCACAGAGTCAACCTGATGATATTACCCCTGTTTCAGTCCTCAAACAAATCCCTTGGTTTTTATCTGAAAAAATTTCTTTTTTATTCATTGGTAATCCTTTTTCTAGAAATGTGGGTATCTAATGTTTTGACGTCCACTACATTTCAACTTCTTACGAATGGAATAAATCTATAGAAAGTATATTATTTCTCTTTTATGTTTATCTAGGGTAGGTATTATATAACAGGATACATTTTTTTTAACAAAACATTTGTTTTCTTGCCGATGTTTCGAATTCAATCCGTTTGTTTGATGTCGTTTTGTGTTTGTGTTGTTTCGGGAATTTGGTTGTTGTAATGTTTTTTATTTTTTTATATGATTCGAATATGTCTGATAGTTTTTAAAATAGCAATATTATCAATACGATGAAACTGCTTCTTGAGCCCTTGAGTCCTGAAGAAGAATTTGATTAAATTGGAAACGTCGGCAAAAACAATTGTTTTTTAAAGAAATAATTGATACTATCACCCAACCATTTTGTTGGCTTTTGAGTTTCTGCTGCATACAATTTCGTTTGTTTTAGAGAAAATCATAGAAATGTCATACTATCATTTGAGAAAGTTTCATCTACTAGTATTAATCGCAGTGATACTGCGTGTTGCAGGAGAAGTGATTTCGGAATTAATTATTATCGCACTGTGACACGGTTTTGTAAAAAATTCACTGTCGAAGAGATAAGCAACACGGCGTTATCAATACCATCAACAAAAATTGGTTATCAAAGGTATAGGCAAATCTTCACCGACAAATGGAAGAAAGAATTAGAAAAATACATATTTATGGCTTCAAGTATGTATTTCGGTTCGTGTCCCAAGGATATTCGAAAAACAGCGTAACATTTACCAGGTTACATTTGCCATGCCAGGCTACCAGGTTACATTCATCATAAATGTAATTTCGAATATTCATTGGATTTTAGACTGACCAAATAAAATTTGACTATGATGGGTATTTCGACTTTACGAGCATCGCGACCTGTTGGACCAGCAGTAAGTTATTTATTTGGGGCAAATATGTTTTTTTCTTACAAATAGGACACTTTTCTTGGATATAATTAATTACTTATTCCACTTTCAATGGATATATGAATTCGAATGTTTTCATACCCCTCAACTACATACGTGACCACCTACCTTAGAGGGCGGGTTGGCTATGCTTGTTCATCTTTCACTGCCTGAACTACTATGCATGCTGTTTTTGGCGAGGGCATTGGGTTGGGATGTGGGAGTTGAGCAAACCGGCCATAGGATACCTGCTTCCACGTAGCCCCGCTGGATACGGGAATGACAGAATCACTTGTGGTTCTGTTATTCCCTAACTGAATGGCATCCCAACGATGGCTTGATCCTGAGATGTGTGTATTCGTGCCAAGAAGATGAATGACACTGAGCCTATCAGCTGTCTCTACGGAACCTTCGAGATACTGGGCGCCCTCTCGTCGTAGCATCGTCTTGTCACGGTAATGCGGGGCTCTGCCGTGATTGACCTTCTTTCCCTAGTTACTCATGGGACTTTTATGGACAGAGTAAGCTTAAAAATTCTTTCTGACGCTGTGTCTACAGAGGAGATGGATCTCGAGCTTACGACTCCAACTGACCTCCCTGTAAATTTAGATCAGGAGCGAGAGCTTCTCAACTCTCCAACTCCTGATCCAATAACTGAACCTAAAAAAAGGTTTAGTGGTGCAGTCAGGAAACGACTGAGTCGTCTCCTCAAGAGCGGGATACCTTATGAATCCGCCTTGCACCAAATTCTTGAGCGGCGTACGCAGAATCTGTCCCAGGTGGAGGAACAACCCCCCATGAGCAGGTTAGCAAACGTTTGCACTCAAGTGATGATTCACCAAAACCAGAGGCGAAAAAGCCTTGCACGGTTAAATCTAAGGCATCGTTAGATGTAGCAGCTGACGAGCAAAACCCTCATATGGGAAGGGGTATCAAGGTGGGAATCTTGCACCTCCACTATCCGACTATCTCATTAACGATGAAACAGCAGAGCATATATATTGTGCCTGCCCCGCTGGGGAACGAATCAGGTTTGTAGAGTTCGGCAGAGCCGTACTCTTGCCATCTAACCTGAAAGACCACTCACCATACAAACTAATGAGCTTCGTAAAGAAGCTGGGTTTATTTGGTCGAGTGTGAATAGGTGTGAGCCACAATAAACCCTTGCAGGTTGCGGTGGAGGGTCGAATAGACCCACTCACTTTGGACCTAACCTGCCTTAGATACTGTGACAATCATCCCTGGCCCGGGGTTAAAAGTCACACTTACTCTTTTCCATAAAAATTGTTATATTGCCTCTATGGATGATGTCGAAGAAAAAAAGTTTTTTTTTGCAAAAGAGTATGAAAACACAATCTATTAATAACAAAACTCATTGATAATTTATGAAAAAGGACACTAAATATGCTCAAGACAAAAAATGTTACTTCCAACCCCAGTCTCCCCTACCATTTGACTCATTTTTTATATACTCAATGAGAAAGGAATGGTCAATGAATATTTGAGTAGAAAGAAAACATCAAGAAATTCGTTTCTGAGTTGAGGGTTATCAGGGCCGGCCTAATGATTTTACATGTGCTCCTTTGAAAATATTAGAATGCTTGGGGGTAGAATGTTCAGTATGAATTTGACTCTCTCGGCTGAGATGATTCTTCAGGAAATCTTGGTAACTCTCGAAAATGATTATGGAATCGAGAAAAATTGAAACATGATTGGTTTAAGTACTTCATGCTAATCAGAAACCGATTATCAAATCAGGCAACATATAGTTATTTGAATTATTCTTTCTGCTATTTATGGGCACTAGCCTCATGTACTGTATTTAAGGTGAGGATACGGTAAATATTAAGTAGGGATAACCTACAATAACAGATATAGTAATATATTAGTGATCGTTCATATTTGCTGCTAAAGATATTGAAAACTACCTCATCTTAAGATGTGTGAAAAATGGGTTGAAATAAAATACAGTATTGTAAATACAATGATTTTTATTGAGTATACATTCAGTATATACACGATTTATTACAAATATTTATAAGGGATCCCGTATAATTAAATCGCTCAGTGTTCATTATTGGCACTGACCTTTTCTTTTCGATACCAACTTTTTTTTTAATATACATTTTTATACATCAGATTTAACATTGAAAAACTCAATTGTTTCGTTGATTGCACTAAAAACTAAACACTACTTTGAGGTACAAAACAATGTTATACAAAAGAACGAACAGAATGTGACACGAAAATATTGCGTTTGCACTAGTGCTACGATGAGTGAATTTTCATAAACCAAACGTTAAAAAACAATATCAATCTATAAGTACGTAAAAAGAAAACGCATCAGAACGTTCCACGTTAAGTAAAAATACTCTTAAAGAAACTGACCACCTAACGATAGATGGCAAGAAATTGAGAGTTTAAATGTATAACAATCATTAAAAATAACAATATAACAATTAACAACTACTTAAAACCATAAAAAACAATCTAAACATTGACTAAGAAAAATGACACAATATTGGCGTTGTTCCATATATTGAATCAGTTTAAAATAATAACTAATAAATATAAATATTTGGTAGGTTTACAAAGGTATTGACAAAACGGTACACAGCGTTGAGCCTGAAATCGCTATACACAGTATTCAAAGCTACTCAAATTGATGACAAAGTTTCCAGTTGAATTTTGGAGTAAAATATTTGATGATACTTTGGTTGAACCACCAAACAGTTTTCAATCACTTTGTTAGTTCTTTGCCACAAACAGTTACAACTTTGTAATTTTCACACTCATACAACAGACAAACAACACCCTGTGTCGAAGCACAAATTTGTGAAGTAAAGTTACTTCAAAGGAGCAAACCAGGTAAACAAGGTAGGAAACGTCAACTGATGTACGCTAAATCAGACTGAGAGCAGTACAAGACTGGAGTTGTTGGAATGGGGCTGGCGGTTATTTCACTAAGTTAGTACATAGGTTTCGTTGAATAAGGATTCTACAAAACTGAAATTATATCATTACAAACATTTACTTTTCAAACCAGTTGAATAATATCAGAGAATTCCAGCATGTACTAATAGTTTGCTAATCAATTTGTGTGCATTGACAAGAAAAAACAAATCTTTTCGATTCCTTTTTTTTATCACTGCCGATCCAGAAATTCGTTATGAATGAATCTGCATCCAGTTGACGTTCACCTACCTGCCCCTCCCCCAGTTGAGAATACAGTTTGACTAGCACCCCTACTAGTACAGTTTCAAGTATCACATATACGGCCACGAAAACGAACTTCCCGACAGAAGCATGTCTCTGATCAAGGTTTCGATCGGCGTTTTGCCTACAAGTCTGACGAAAAATAACTGTTCGATCACTGCCGAACTGACGGTCCTTAAGCTTGGTAAGCGCAATAGTAATTTGCCGAATCTAGTAGGCTGATTGGGATACTGAGATCGGCAGTATTCTTCCAGTGCGCACTGTGATTTCTCTTGAATAGACTCGATGTGAGCCACGTCACTCAATCCGCAAGCGTCTGAAACAAAACGAAAAGAGTTATTAGAGTAGTAGAAAATCAGTAATAATGAAAAAAAATGTCAATTAATCATCAATCAGATGGGATGATAACTGGTCTCATTTTTGGGTACTCGGCAAGATAATCAGAACTAAGTAAAAAGCGGGATGGCAGCTGGTAGCTTGAAATTTTTTGGTAGGTAGGTAGGTAGTTAGCTCCAAAGTGAGTGGGTCCATTCAACCCTCCACTGTAATCCAACCCTCCACTGTAGTTACAATCTATTCAAGCTCGACCAAATAAGGCCAGTTTACCAACGGGGCCTATAACTCATTTGGTGAGCAAAGTTTCAGATTATCTGGCAAAAATGGGTCTCTACGATAAACACTGAAAAATTGATCAGTTATTAGGCGTGGTAGGTACAAAGTGTGAGCTCTGCTACACTGAAAAACTGATCCAATCTGAGGCATGGTAGGCACAGAGCGTGAGCTCTGCTACCCGGTGCTGGAATTGTGAAGAATGATCTACTCCAAGGTCTACACAGACCATCGTAAATTGTCTTCAATCCAGTGGGAACCTGAGAAAATAGATTTTCTTTAACACCGTCCTATGACTGCACCCACCGAGCAGAAAACGCTTTCCTGATATCTTCACAGAGAACCTGTAACCATCCAGGCTGGAATGTGCTGCTCTGGAATTGTACTTGTGGGACCATCTTTTGGAATATCATGTACGGCAAACATCATGGCATACCGAGAAGATCCCAGTTGTCTGGTCGATATTGATGTCGGATGTTCAAGTTCCAGGATTCCAACTTCAATAATCGCAGTATCCTTTCCATATAAGGGCATCAGCGAGTCATGAAGATACATTAGATTCAGTTGTGCAGGCCCACACCAGAGGTGTTGGGTTATTCTTTTTTTGGGTGTAATCATTCACTGACCAGCTCAGGGGGAGTTTGTTTCCTATCCTGATGCAGATTCTGCTTCTGCTGCTCAATAATTTGGTGCAAGAAGACGATAAGTCGCTTCTCTGCACAGTATCAAGAGTTATAGAAATGTGAAGTTCTTGCTCCTGATCTGATGTTGAAGGGAGAACAGTTGGCTTGTTTCAGTCGACCTCCATCTCCTCCGTAGACACAGGGTTGAATCATTTGGATACTTCATGGTCCATAAAGGATCCCATTACTCATGGGATGGCTCTAAAAAGGTCCCATTGCTCATGGGACTCTCTGTGAGTCTACCATGGTCACAGTGACAAGGATTTATACGAAGAGAAAACGGTTACATACACCTAGGCTCCTTTCAGGAGGAATCTTCTAACCACTCATCCCAATACGAAACTGTGTTTCTATGGAATAATGGAACAGCATTCCAGGAGTGAACATCTGAACAAAGTTTGCCATAAATTAAACAGTCGATTCCAATTTCCAAGGCCTCTTCTACCTTTTCTCCAGCTGAACTGATATTTGTTTTTCAGCATCATAATAGGAAGCAGTCATTAGAGTAAAAAAGATAATTGTTTTTTTCATTCTCAGGTTGAGGTTTTTTTTTTCTGGAAATCAGTTTTATTTTTGCAAAAATTCGTTTTTGAAGTAGATTATGCTTATTTATTATAAAAAAATATTTGTGATTTTTTAATCCTACACATAATTTTTTTCTTTGTTACAATCATGACAATTAAGTGAAAATATTTATAGGTTTTCTTTTCTTGTTCACAAATATTAACCTGGAATCACTGAGCACCGAATTAGTCATCTCTTTGGAACATCTTAACCACAGAACTGAAATTCTGTTCTTTAAACCCTAAAATCACTCATAACATCCAGTCTCCCCCACCCAAACCTTCTCCTATAACATAAACCACTCCTCCACATCCGCCACTGATAATAAATAAATTTGCCATTATTGAAGTTACGACTGCAAAGAAGCATCTTCAACAAAGAAACTTCGTAAATGAACAATTGAAAGGATTATGGAAACTTTAAAATCCATCCGTACACCGTTGCGTTGTGCCTTTCTCTATGAAGTAGACTTATATTAGGAAGTTTTAATTGTCCTTATTCCCATTAAAAATTGATGAACACAGATTAGCGTGGAGGGGTGTATTCAATAATTAATTCGAGTAAGACAAGACGTTTGCAGTGGCAAGTAACAGAATAATTCTATACAAGATAGTATAAAACATTATCATTCTGAACATTTAGGAGTTTTGGGCTACCCTTAAATTTCTGTTATTTCTGTTGAAATTACTGAATTCGATTAGAAATGTTACTGCGTTTGAATAATATTCAATTAAAGTTTCATCCAAATTATTAGTCACTCTTCTTGTTATATATTTTAGCATATACATAACATTTATATATACATTATTCACAAATAAATTTGATTTCTAAATGAAAATAGACTTTTTTGAATAGCGTTTCAAGAATCGGTGCTGTTATCTTTCTCAAATCCGAAAAATTGCCCTTGAAATTGATAAAATGTCGTTCAGTTTCGAAAGATAAAGACTTTTGATTAATTTTGAGTGCAGTTTTTGAAGTTTTGATGAATTTGAAAAAGGGGCATGTTCCTGGAATGTTTTCTAAAAGAAAAATGTTTTCACGTATTGAGAAAATTTTTCCCACATCAGAACAACGCGCGTTTCGCTAACCGGATAGTGAGTATTTTTGTTCTGGTACGGAAAAAGTATTTCAAGGATATTTTTATTTAAGATTCATATTTTTGTTTTCGAATATGTCAACAAAATTTAAAACAAGTAGCGTTACTTACAAGTTGGATAAATCTTCCACTAAATTTCTTTCAAATACAGTAAAATTTCGGGGAAAATTTAATAATTCACGCAGCAATATTTGATTATTTGTAAAAACTATTCAGATGTTTAGGGGAGTGAAGCCTCATAAATATCGAGATCTGTAGAATCCTTCTTTGCGTTTAACAGTAACAAATTACGTGTACAATCAATTCATCACATTCAGATGCCCAAATCAATTTCTGTGAATGTATGTGTTTATTTACACATTTATACCTCTTTCAACTGAAAAAGCAATGTGGTCCTCAATCAAGTCTATGCCTGTTAACAACGTTTCCACAGAGATGTTTCGACGCTAATGGATGCCAATTTGAATGTATTACCCTACATCCCTTGCATCCCTTAGGTGACCCTCAATGATTTCAACAACTTTTTGGTAAGTCGATGTGATCGTAAGGTCCAAAAATAAGAACCATTATCCTTTGACAATGTTCTAGAAAGTAACAATAAAGTTTACACTCATGTGTTATCAGTTGAAGGATTATAAAAAAAATCTGATAGAAAAAGTGTCCTTATCACAGTTTAACACACCCTTGATGTAGCTCAAGTATGCCGTATTAATAAACATATACTGCACATGATAAAACATGCTGCCGAAATATCTCAGGTATATCTGATCGCAGATGGTCTTACATATATTATACTTTCTGCAAAATCATATTGACTAGCAGCGATAAGTCTCACCTTAGCCCAGATCTATCTATCTATCAGATCTGAGGAGTCTTTTGCTGGTGGGATACCAACTCTTTCTAACATAGTTGTAGTCACTTCTTTGCTATGGAAAATCTGTCTTCGACAGACGGATTGTTAAAAAACCTGTAGGGGCTTTCTTAAACAACGTTGTTGTTCCTCTACAGTCTTCCAAAACCGATCTGCCTCAGTTTTTCCATACTTTCCTTGACATAGTGCGGCTTCCTGCGTTACCAATTTTACGTTCTGAGCGTTGACCTTTAGCATGTGTGTACTTTTACCACTGTATCCTCCCGAATCATGAATTCTGACCAGATCAACCAAGTGGTCATAATCAGAAGACAATAATTGGAACTGACGAATTTGTTACCATCATCTCTTGATGATGCTAGATAGTATATCCAAAAATAAGTAGAGTTTGATCGAACCTGAAGCGAAGCATCCCAAGATTTTTTTATTACATTGGACGTTGCAGGTCATTGGTTTTAGACTGTTGGAATATTTTGCTGCTTGGTGACCTAGAGCGAACGAAGCCGATTCAAAGTCAAATGGCCACGTGTTACCAATATTTTTAAGGTAATCATCCCAAAATGAGGTTTCCAGATCACAAGAAAGGTAGAGAAATTGTTCGTGCGTATGTTCCCTACTGTATTGGAATTGTTGCTTCCCAGACTTATGAACAAACAATCATGAACCTCATTGGAAAGGTTAGTTTTTACAGTTCATTTCATCTCCTGAAGACGTCAACTTAGTTGGTGAAAATGCGTTTGTGATGTGCATTCATCTCAAAAATTCGTGTCTGCAAATCATGCTGAAATATCACCGAATCACATTGAATTATAAGTTTTGGTTTCCTGAAGGATCATTCGCACGATTATGAAGAGAAAGTTGCAGATCGGAATTGATGAATCAAACAATCGCAATATAAAGTGTTTTCGTTTTGGGACTACAATTAGAATACAACAGAGTATATGGGTTAGGTAAGATTAGGTCCAAAGTGAGTGGGTCTATTCGACCCTCCACCGCAACCCGCAAGGGTTCATTATGGCTCACAACTATTCACACTCGACCAAATAAACTCTGCTTCTTAACGACGCAGATTAGTTTGTGTGATGAGTGGCCTTTCAGGTCAGATGGTAAGAGTATGGCTCTGCCGAACTCTAAAAACCTGATTCGGTTCCCAGCGGGGCAGGCAAAAAGTATGTGCTCTGCTGTTTCATCATTTTCCAAACAGAGGCGACACACACTGTCTTCTGACAGTCCGAGTCTCTGTATATGATGATTCAAATGACGGTGACCTGTGAGAAGGCCTGTTAGACATCGTAGTTCATCCCAACTGTAGTCCAACAACTGTTTGGTATTAAGCTTCGCAGGGTGAATAAACGCCTTGCAGTGAGCCAATCCTGGAAGATTCTGCCAGAAGTCCATAAATCATCTTGCCATCCAGGTGTTCAATCTTTGTTTGGCAAAGCCCAAAGCGATGCCAATGACAGGATCTGGTCCGATCAAGCTACTTGAAGCAC